TAATAGTAACTTAAAACATATTGTTTTTAATGTCAAGATATTTTTAAATATCTACATACAGGAAATAAAATGATTAAAAAAAACGCAGTAAAAATGTCAAGATAAAAACTTTATTGCTTTAATTATTACCTATAAATATAATTTATAAGCCTGATAATGGAATTTTATTATTTTATAAACATTTTAAACAATATTTAATTATTTTATTATTAGGTACACTTTTCACTTTCGGATGTGTTTATAAACTATCACATTCTTATAGGAAAATGTTTTAAATACAATCTATCGATAGATTATTACTGCTGTAAGTGCTGTACTTCTAGTTTAGCCATTTAGATGCGTTAATATAATCGATCAAATTATTATTTTAAAATATAATAAAATTAGACAGGAGACATAGATTACGATTTGTGTAAGCACTGAAAGTACTTTACTCGTTACTCGTACCAGTTGTGTCTTGGTTAAAAATAAACGTGCACCACCGTCCACCAAACTGTAGGTAATAGCGTATTTACGTAGACAAATAACGATGGCGTAGATTCGTCTATATTGATTTATCAAGACTTATAGTCTTGTAAAGATACTTTTTAAAATTATTTGATTAAAGGTTACAGATACTGAACTTTAAAATTATTTAAAATACGTACCWATTCAAATACTCGATAAAAAAAATTATTTGCGAGTACGTACACAATTACTTAAAAATTCGAATACCTAGTCAGTACTATTATACTTTCTATTTTTTTATAAATATATTTTTAACTTTAAAAATCAACTAAATCTGATTTTTTGTTGTCTAAAATATTAAAAATATTGTTTGCGTATTATTCTCAGAAAAAAAACCAAATAAATCATTATTTTATTTTTCATTACTTAAAATTATAACTAAAATATAAAATATATAAACTGAAACGAATAAGCATTTGATTTTAAATAATGGTAGTTTGAAAAACTACCATTATTATTATTATTATTTTTTCAATTACTTTTTAAAAAGTATTTGAATACTTTTATTCAAACGCTTTACAAGATTGTCTGTGGTCCTTTTTTTTACATTCCAAGTGATCAAATCTACTGAAAATATTATGTTAATATTTTACAGGATTTCAATAAGAATATGATTTCATAGTATTTTGATAATTCTTGATTAAAAACATTTTGCAAATATTAAAATATGCCACTACACCACTGCAGTTGTTGATATAGGTACCAGAGATAAAGAATAGACAATGCAGCTTATGAATCGTGGAGTTGTGAATGTGAGAACACTTAATGATGGTTTTCTACAAAATTTTACATATTTTAAATCATAAATTTATTGTGTTTATCAGTTTATCACTCAACTCAAGTGAGCAACAAAAATAAGAGTTGACATAAATTYGAAAATTGCCTATCAAATACTCCTTAAAAATGTCTCACTACTTGATTACTACCAATTAGCTGCAGTCCTGCAGATGTATAATATTATAACTCTAAATCCTGATTATATTATTCCATAACCTTCTGGCTTCCTCGTTTTCTTGTTAAAACCATTCAAATACAAAATATTATTTAATTACGTACCTATGTATTTTTTTATAATATTCATTAGTGTTTTTGTTTTTATTGAATGATTAAAATCCTAAATATTACATATAATATCTTTATTATAAATAATAGTCCAAAAATTTAGTAGGGTGAAAAAATTTCAAGAGGCCCAATTTCTTAATATAATAGCGTGCAGTGAAGAGGAAAAAGTGGTCAATTTGAAGCAGCCCTATCCAAAATTTTCAAAATATGTCGAGCCATGGGCCATGGCCCGATCTTAACCTAGGGTTCGGCGCCATTGGCTATTATAATATTATATAACCTAACTATTTCATATTTGTTTGAACAGTTCTATATGCACCAAATAAATAAGTAGTAAAATCGTTAACAAACAATATGAATTACATTTACTAAAGGCATATCAAATTGTACTCTTTCAAAGCTTTATGATAGTTTTTACAGTCGTATTTTAAAGGAGAATGGTATTGCATGAAGCCATGAAACATAAAATGTCAACAATACTCGGAACGAATATGACGTGGCTATGCAATGCAAGCTAATTAGCAATTAGCTAAATTAATAAGTTCTGCATTCCATTAACTCTTCAGAAGGGACTGAGAAGATAATATTTTTGAATTTTTCTAACTACCTACCTACCTATACTTCTGACTCGTACATCAGCAACACTGCACAGACACATTTAAACCACTTAACCACATAAGATAATCATGAATTTACAATCACAATATATTTAAATTTTATCGACACATAAAAAAAAATACAATCTTTAATACTATACTTACAAATTAGAGTTTATAAATGACCACGTTCGTACTAAATAATAATTTATCAGTATCTACTTAATACCTACATATTTTTTTGAAATCAAATGCGTTAATGATTAATTAAAGTATACATAGGTTCTATAACTATATTGTAGGTATTGTATCATTGCATGATACTGTATATACCTTCTCCAACTTTGGGAGTCCTCTAAAAAGTATTTTTTATAATAGATTATATATTTTAATAGAATTTTGTTTTGTCATAAATGTATTACAATGATGATTAATGAGTGATAGTAATATTTTTCTTTAAAATTTGATTTTGTTATTTATTCCCCATGTTATTTTTTTATTTTTTTTTTTTATTAAATTAAAGTGTTTCTGACATACAAGGTCATCTAACTTATTGATAGAATAAAGAATTTTTAACATCATTAGTTGTTAAGCGTAAATTAATTACAATATATACAGTAAATTACAAAGATGAATAAATAAATAATAAAATAT